GTTCTTCCAAGGATCAATTCAAAGAGGTTCTCCTGGGTTCTTCCAAGGATCAACTCAAGGACCACCTATGAACAAGAGGTTCTCCTGAGTTCTTCCAAGGATCAATTCAAAGAGGTTCTCCTGGGTTCTTCCAAGGATCAACTCAATGAACAAGAGGTTCTTCCAAGGATCAACTCAAGGGGAAGCCATAAAATTGGTCCCTTCCAGTTGGTTGCCCAGCTCAAGGAAGGACCAAGCACACATGACCGTGTCCGGTGGTTTATTTCAGGCCAGCACCAGCTCAGCTTGCAAGCTTTCCACTTCCCCTTGGAGAACACCGCCAGCTACGTGACCATCGTCCCTCTGAAGCCCATGCAACTGAAAACCTTCACGCTCTGCTTCTGGGTCCAGAACAGCAACCAGGGCCGGCAGACTGTCCTCTTCTACTCCACCCCCGAGAGCGAGAACGAGCTGGTCATCAGCGTGGGCATGGCGGTGGGCGTGTGGATCGGGGGCAAGTTCGTGCAGTTCGACCTCCACCGCCGGGCGGAAGACTGGGTCCACCACTGCGTCACCTGGGTCTCCAGCTCGGGCACCATCAACCTGTGGGTTAACGGTGCCGTGGGCACCGCCCGGAACATTCAGAAAAACTACATCATCCAGAGCGGCGGGACGCCCATCCTGGGCAAGAGGAAGAACGCCATGCTGGACGTCTTCGCCGACGCCTTCTCCGGCTGGATGAGCCACGTCAACCTCTGGAGTTGGCTGCTGGACCAGAATGACATCCAGGAGCTCACCCTTTGCAAGCACACCCAGCAAAAGGGGGACGTCTTGGCTTGGGGGGAAACGCACATGTCCCTCTATGGCGGGGTGACCTTAGGCCCGGACACCAGCTGTAGGTGAATCAGGCCTGGGTTTTGAGGCCCCTCTAAAAATAAATAGCTTCCTTCCTCCCCCCAAATCTTTGCATTTTGGGACTCAAGTTCAGTAGGTATAAATAAGAGGGGTGGACTTCAACTCCCAGAATTCCCCAGCCAGCTTTGCTTCCTGGCTTCCATTATCTTCCGTTATGGTTCCTTATCTCCCAAAGCTTTGCTGGCTGGGGGATTCTGGGAGTTGAAGTCCACTCCTCTTACAGGCCAGAGATTGTAGTGTATCCCCCCCCCCAACCCACCCCAATAGGGACTTATGGGTAGGACCGAAAGCTTAAGTCCCAGGCCCAGGCTGACCCACATGTGTGGTGCATGAAAAAAGTTTTGGTGCAATGTTGGGAAATCTGGAGCTAGGAAAGTCCCAGGTGTACCCCAAAAATTTGAATTAATGGGTTGGGGGGGGGCATCCAAGGAGGTCGAACTCCCCCCCGCCTTTGGATTGCCCAGAGTCAGACAGTGTGAGGAGGGGGGCAGCGGTGTCAATCGTCCAGAGGATTTGCTTCCCCCCCCCCTCGAAACCTGCTAAATAATTTACATTTAAAAGCCTGCATGGCATAAAAAAAAACTTTTGTGGCTTGTTTGTGGCTTGCTGGCTTGGGGGGGGGGCACCAATAAATTCTCCACCAGTTCAACACCAAAGCCTTATTTCCGTGTCTTCGATTTATACTCCCATCTCTCTCATAAACAATTCAGTATTCATCTGTAGCTGGGAGGCCATCAAACTGCTTCGAAGGACATTGACAATTCTTAATTTGTAGGTTCCCCTCCCCACTCAAATGTACTCTATGCAATGGGCTCTTGTGAACCCCAAATTTGATTTATCCTTCTCTGAAATGGTTGCTGTTAGTTGCGAAGTCGTGTCCAACCCATCGCGACCCCATGGACAATGTCCCTCCAGGCCTTCCTGTCCTCTACCATCCTCTAGAGTCCATTGAAGCTCATGCTGGTTGCTTCGGTGACTCCATCCAGCCACCTCCTTCTCTGCCGTC